TCAGAGCAGAGCTGCACTCGGCAGGGTTTCATGGCTATGACCTTTCAGAAGCAGATTGCCAGGCCTTTTCTGAGGTGCCTCTGGGAGGGTTTCAACCGTCCCTCTTTGAATTAGTAGCCTAGCACTTAACTGTTTGTTCCACCTGAGACTCCTTATTGAATGACTGAAACCAAAAACCAAACCCACTGCCATGGAGGAGATTCTGACTCATGGATAACCCTATTGGGTTTCCAAGGCTGTAAATCTTTTCGTAAGTCGAGTGCTTCCTATTCCTTCCACAAAGCAGCTGGTGGGTTTGAACTGCTGACCTTATGGTTAGTAACCAAATGTCTTACCCACTACACCACCAGAGCACCTTATTTAATGACTAAAGAGGCTATAATTTGTTTTTTGGTTAATGGAAAAGAGCAATGTTGAAGTAAATATTGGAGAGAGAAAACATAGTGGCTGAAATGATTGTTGAAGCAATATTGCTGAAGAAACAGAAAGGAATACAAATGAGGGCACATATATAGAGTTTTATTTTGAATCTTGGGAGAAAAAGAACAGGATGAAGTATGTGTCTGGATGATGTGCAGGGGAGAATGTTGAGGAATCATTTTGCTGGGAGTTTAACATTCTCAGTGAAGAGGAAGTAACACCCAGGTGTCTGGAAGAGTTTGGTGGAGGGAGTTGTGGTGAGTTGAGCAAAGCCGCAAAGGTTTCAAGAGATTGCCTTAGATATGGGGAAATTTTTTTAGCTTTACTAGAGATTACCTAATTGTTTTCCAAAGTGGTTATATAAATAACATGTCAGTGGGCATAAAAATTCCCATTTTCCCTAACACGTAAAATTGTCAGATTTTCACCCTTGTTCCGGGATGAAAGGTATTCCATTGAATTTTGAGTCATTTTGCATTTCTCTTTACAAGTGACTTTGAGTGTCTTTTCTTTTCTTTATTGATCAAACCAGTATCCTCTTCTGTGACTTATCTATTCAAGTCTTTTGCACATCATTTCCTACTGAAAGATTTGTGGTCTTTTTCTTTCTTTCTTTTTTTAAAGTGTGTAGAACTCTTGTGTATTCTGAATACTAATCATTTCTTGATTACGCATGCAGCAATTTTCTCTTTCCAGTCCATGATGTTTCTTTCCCATTACTCTGTGGTGTCTTTTTCATGACAATATTTTTTTATTTTAATGTTGTCAAATTTTTCACTTATGTTTTGTGCATTTTGTGTCTAATTTAAGATCGATCCCTACCCTGATATAGACATTTTTCCTTTTTTTTTCCCCTAAAATATTTGGGTTTTGCTCTTCACAATTAATCCTTTGGGAATTATTTCTCTATATTATTCTTCTGTATGGGTATCCAGTTGTCTCATTGCTCATCAGTTACTTAAGTCCAGTTGTCACCAGTACTGAGAGTCCTGGTGGTGAAGTGGTTAAAGCACTTGGCTGCTAACCAAAAGTTGGCCATTTGAAGCCACCTGCTCCTGCATAGGAGAAAGATGTGGCGGTCTGTTTCTATAAAAATTACAGCCTTGGAAACTCTGTGGTGAAGTCCTACTCTGTCCTACAAGGCGCTCTGAGTTGGAAGCAACTCCACAGCAGTGGGTTTGGTTTTGGGTTTACATCAGTACTACTACACTGTTTGAATTGCCACAGCTAAAGCTATAATAAATTATTTTAATGCCTGATGGGACAAGTCCTCTCTCATTTCTTTTCCTCAAATTGTCCTATCTACTCTCGGCTCTCTATTCTTCTGCATGATCAGACTGTAAAGCTCTATTTAAAAAAAAAAAAATGCTTTTATTAGAATTGCATCAAATTCAAAGATTAAATGGGTGATAACTGACATTTTGACCACACTAAGTCTTTCTATCTATTAGCATTACACATCTCCCCATGTATTTAGGCAATCCTTTTGTCCTTCAATAAAGTTTTATAATTTATTTTTACTTGTCTTGGACCTCTTACAGTAGAATTATTTCTACATTCCTTAAAATTGCCATTGCTGTTGAAATGGGAGGGGGTCTTTTTAAAAATTATGTTTACTTATTTATTGTTACTTAAGTATAGGATAGTATAGAACAGTATTAAGTTTTAAAATATTAATTTATATCCAACAAATTTACAGAACTCTTTAGTTTATCTTTAGAATCCCTTGGATTTCCTCGGTAGATAAAGATCTCTTCTGTCAATCTTATACACTTTGCTTTTTCCTTTTCAATCTTTTTATGGCAAAATAATTTGTAAAGCTCTTTTCACAAGCAGAGTAACAAGTGTTTTTTGCACAGGCCACAAATTAAGCTCCCTTGCTTCGCAGGGATCTCCTATAACAAACAGATATTAACATCCCAATGCTAGCCCTTTGGGCCTATTTCCTGATTGGAAACCCCAAGGGGCCACAATAGCATCAGCCATGGCTTGCAACTCTTGCACTAAGCTTTCTCTTTATTTCCATACCTAAGTATTCCCATTTCCTTCTTTTAAGTTTGGCTGTCTGCATGTTTTTTATTTTCATAATTTATCTAGAATTTCTATGTGCTTTAATAAGAGTGAGATCTATAGACATCAGTTTAGTCTATTATGTGGCCACAAGCTCCACCTCTGAAATCTTATGCTTCTGTACCATATGAGTTAACCATCCTCTCCGAGCCCCCCAGCTTTACTGAACTTTTCCAACCCTGAAATATTATGTATGATTCTGAATGAAGATGGAAAAGAGCATTTCAGGAGGAGAAACCAAACTCCTTTAGATTCAGAGATAAGAAAGCACATCACATTTTGGGGAAAGATAATTAGACCTGCATCAAGAAAGAATTGGTAATTGAATTAAGTATAGATGGAAGAAATTACTGAGTAGAGGTCTCTTTAGAAAAATTATATAATTACTTAGGATAGCCTAGACCACAGTAACAAATAGATAGCAAAATGTATAGTGGTTTAAACAAAATAAAAGCTTATTTCTCTCCTATCTAACAGTCCGAGTAGTTGTTTTCCATGACAAGCAGCTCTTGAGGATATGCAAAAAAAAGGGAACACAGGTCTGTCCCACCATCCCATTCAGCTTTTTGCCATATACATCAGCTATAAGCTCTGGTAGCATAGTGCCTAAGGCACTTGACTGCTAACCAGAAGACTGGTGGTTCAAACCCACCAGCCACTCCTCAGAAGGAAGGTTGGGCAATCTACTCTGTAGTGATACTGCCTCAGAAACCCAAAGAGGGGTCGCTATTAGTTGGGTCCAACTTGACAGCACATAATAACAACACATCAGAAGACAAGTGTATGGAGGATGCTCAGAATTGAATTGGCTAGAACTGAGTCACATGACCACACTTCACTGCAAGGGAGGCTAGGATATGTAGTCTAGCTGAGTGTCCAGGGAGAAGAGAACCAAAAACCAAACCAAACTCACTGCCCTGGAGTTGGATCTGACTCACAGCAACCCCTCCTTGAGTTTTCGAGGCGGTATCACTACAGAAGTAGATTGCTCAACCTTTCTTCCAAGGAGTGGCTGGTGGGTTTGAACCACCAGCCTTCTGGCTAGTAGTCATATGCCTTAATAACATAGATTTATGTAAGCAACTACTAATCTCTGCCACAGTTCCTATGATCTTAGAGTGCAAGATGGATCAAAGAGAAGGGAAACTGTACAAGCAGAAAGCATTATAGTATTTCAGGTAGAAAATGATGATAGTCTGAGCTAAAGCACTGAGACTATAATAGAAAAGTAGATTTGTAAGAATTATTTTAAATGAAGAATCAAGACCATATGTAAAGGTGGGGGAAAACTGGGTGAGAGTGCCTCTGAGCAACCCACATATGGATAACCCATTGGAATAAACCTAGATTTAACTCAAGAGTTCAAATTTACTGGTATAAACAATGAAAAATAACCCACAATAATCTCTCTGGGAGATATCAAAATAAACAAAATGTGGTTTTCCTCCTCAAAAAAGCTTGCAATCTACTTAGATTACTTGAACAGAGAACTGGGTTTGATCAGACATGTTGGAAGGATGACTGAACCTGGATATATGGGAAAAAGAAAGCAAGTCGACAGATGGAGGCCTAAGAGTCATTGGCAATGTGGTAGCTGGAGCCTCTGTGGAGCTGGAAGAGTCACCAAAAGAAATAATAAATAAGAAAAGAGAGAATCAAGGAGAAAAGCACTGTGATGACAGATAATTAAGGGTTTGGGAAAGAGATAAAACCCATCAAAGGAGATGGCAAAAGTGTACTTTGAAAATGGGACACTAGGAGGGTGAATAATTCATAAGACTTTTTTTGTTAGGCGAATACTCCATGGTCCTTGTGATTTACAATTGCCTGACACCTACATAGAGCTCTGGCTCATTCTGAGTTTGGTCAGTGGACCAGTTCCTAATTGTCCAGAGCAGTACTTCCACTGACATACCCTTGTCACTGGAATGTTTTGGCAAAGATTCCAAAATGCTGGGCTTTCACTGTCATGTGTAATAAAATTAACATGTGATTCTGGCTTCTCCATTAAGTTATAAGGTTGAGCACACGGAGTATGTCTTAATTCATCTTCTTATCTCCAGCACAGTGCCTGTCACACATGGCATGCTTAATAACTATATGTTGAATAAATGAGTGACTATAATGTATTTTTCTCTGATTTGGTGATTTTCCACAAGGCCCAACACAAATTTTATAGCAAAATGGAATACGAAAATTTATTATTTGTTAAATGACTAAATACTGGGTTTTGGGGTGGTGGTGCTGTTGGGTTGGTGGGGATGAGCATCTCTGACTCACAAACTGCTCATTACCTAGATAGAAGCATCCAGGAGTGACTAACAATTAGTCCCACTGACCAACAGGGATTTTTTTTTGCCCAAAATATGGGCTCTCTCTGAATTTAATAAACCCAGGTGGGAAGAGAGTTGACCTCTGGAGTCAAAAGTGGTCGTAGACAAGGAAGATTATTACACAGAGTAACTTCATTAGTAATTCTGGACTCTTTTCCCTTTCATGCTGAAGGAGCCATGAGGGAAGAAAACCAGTCCTCTACCCTGAATTTCATCCTCCTTGGAATTAGTGATCAGCAACAGCAGGAAGATGTCTTCTTCATCCTTTTCCTGTTTATTTACCCCATTACACTCATTGGAAACCTGCTCATCATCTTGGCCATACACTCTGATGCTCACCTTCACAACCCCATGTACTTTTTCCTCGCCAATCTCTCCTTTGTTGACATTCTCTTCTCGTCTGTAACTGTCCCTAAGATGCTGGCAAATCACTTTTTGAGCTGCAAAGCCATCTCCTTTGGGGGATGCCTAACACAGATGTATTTCATGATTGCGTTGGGTAACACAGATAGCTATATCTTGGCTGCAATGGCTTATGATCGTGCTGTGGCCATCAATCGACCTCTCCATTACACAACAATTATGAGCCCAAAGTCTTGTATCCTGCTGGTTGTTGGGTCTTGGGTGATTGGAAATGCCAATGCCCTTCCCCACACTCTGCTCACAGCTAGTCTGTCCTTCTGTGGCAACCACGAAGTGGCCAACTTTTACTGTGACATTACCCCTTTGCTCAAGTTGTCCTGTTCAGACATCCACTTTAATGTGAAAATGATGTACGTAGGGGTTGGTGTTTTCTCTGTACCATTAATATGCATCATTATCTCCTATATTCGGGTGTTTTCCACAGTTCTACAAGTTCCATCTACCAAGGGCATGCTCAAAGCCTTCTCAACCTGTGGCTCCCACCTCACAGTTGTTTCTTTGTATTATGGGACAGTGATGGGCATGTACTTCCGACCTCTGACCAGTTACAGCCTAAAGGATGCAGTGATAACTGTGATGTACATGGCAGTAACACCAATGTTAAATCCTTTCATCTATAGTATGAGGAACAGAGACATGAAAGCTGCCTTGGGGAAACTCTTCAGCAAGAGAATTTCCTCATAATCACGTGAGGTCAAACGTTGTTGTTGTTGTTGTTGTTGTTGTTGTTGTTATGTGCCATCAAGTCGGCCCCGACTCATAGCAACCCCTCCTTGGGTTTCTGAGGCAGTATCACTACGGAAGTAGATTGACCAACCTTCCTTCTGAGGAGTGGCTGGTGGGTTAGCAGTCAAGTGCCTTAGGCACTATGCTACCTGAGCTCCTTCCTCATAATCACGTGAGGTCAAACATTAGAGAGGGCAATTGTACATAAAAGACCAGCCCCATTTTCATTCCCCTTCAAGAAACTCTCATTGCTCTTTCCAACCAGAAAATTTGTATTCTAAGCAAATTATTACAATTTGATGAAACATCTTATTGAAATTATCACTTTATACACCTTATTGCTCCTTTTGGCAACTCAAGAATATTAGGTTCTCGTTCCTGGTATGCTGTTGACTAGCAGTGGAAACTTGAGAAAGGCTGAGCTTTGGCTGCCACATCTACATATTAGGATAATGTCTGTCATGAGAGCTTTGGTAGTGTAGTGCCTAACGCATTTGACTGCTAACCAGGAGGCCGGCGGTTCACACCCACCAGCCACTCCTCGGAAGGAATACCGGGCAATCTACTTCTGTAGTGACAGCTCCTTGGAAACCAAGAAGGGGTCGCTATGAGTAGGATCCAACTCGATGGCATTCAGTTTTGTGTTTTTGTTTTTGTTTTGTTTTGTTTTTTTGTCTGTCACAGGCTTGAGAGGATCACATTAGCTCGTGATTTGAAGGATATAAATCACAACTGAGATGTCAATTCTATTATGTTTAATCACCCCTACTTTGAGGACAGGTGCTGACTTAACACACCATTGGTCATGTAAAGTGAGTAAGTATTTGTGAAAAGAAAGATGAATGAATGAAAATATCAGCGTCAAAATCAGAATAGGTGTCCTTGGGTAGTGCAAATGGTTAATACACATAGTGCCTAAGGCATTTGATTGCTACCCAGAAAGCTGGCAGTTCAAACCCACCAGCCACTCCTCAGAAGGAAGGTTGGGCAATCTACTTCTGTAGTGATACTGCCTCGAAAACCCAAGGAGGGGTCGCTATG